CCTATCCCCCTGTGTGCCCTTGCCTCCCAACGTACTATTTGGGGCAATTAATCATACAGCACCCAAGAGATGAACTATATATCATCTCATGAACTACTTTAGGTCTAATTCAAAAAGTCCATCAATAGACCCATCAACCGGGGAACATAATGATGCAAGGAAGAGAAGAAAAGAGAACAAAACAAACAAAAAATGCATACAATAAGAAAAGGTGAGAAAATATACTATATCTTCTCTCTCAGTCTGAAAGTGAGCACACCCCAGAAGAGATATCTTTTCAAAAGACCCAAAATTCAATTCTTCTTCTTCTTCCTTTCCTTGTCCGACATTCACATATTTATTCAAAAAAAAAAAATCCCAACTTTCTCCAATAAGCCCTAATCAGCATTAAATCCGAGCCTTCATCTTTTAATAGTAAATTAGCTACTCTGCCCCTCAATGCTCTACAACGAAAAGACAACAATTACCCCACAATTAAAAATACCAAAAACAAATAACCCAAGACCCCATTTTTGTATCTTGAAATAACATTAAAATAAAATAAAGAAAAGCCTTAACTATGTCAAGTGATACCTAAATTTATATTTCAATAGCATGGTTATAGCAAATGTGCCGACATAAAATAGCAAAACTTATCGAAAAGTACCCAAGAGATGAACTATTTAACATCTCACCAACTTCTTTTGATTTAATAATTTTAAAGGTCCATCAATAGACATCGTCATAGGCTAGAAATTTTTGGACTCAAACTTTTGCCCCTCCATCAAAACCAAAGTTAAGGAAAAAATTTGTTCGTTTTGATATTAAAAACTTAAAAGACAATATCCTCCTACAAGTTACCCTAAAGACAAAATCCTAGCTAGGAGCATTTTCTGACCCCACATTTTAGGGATGTGACCTACGCAACCTAATGACCAATCTAGAAAAGAAAAATCCATCAATACACACCTCAGATACTAAAACAGTAATAAGAAACTCAATAATTTTGCAACAATTATAAATGCATTATTGTGGTCCCTACAATTTTTAGCAACCTGTTTGATTTCCATCCAAACTATGTATATATATATACATATATATATATATATGGGTGCGGTTTGTATAGAGCCGAGGCTCTAAACAATCAAAGTGAAGCGCACGCACCTTCAATAGTGTAGATATTTTCATCTTTAATTATAAAATTTAAAGCTTCAAAAATGGTGTAGATAGAGCAGATCTATGAAAACTTGAAAATCTTGAAAATTGACGGCCCAAAAATGTGTTACAAGATGCACTATTTCCAAAACTTGAAATTCATTTTTTTTTCTCATATCTGAGATAAATTGAACAAGTATGGTCGTGCCCTATTAGGATGTCCTATTAAACCAAAATTGGGGTCTACCAAAAACTATGGCAAAGCGGTTTATGAATGTCTCCATGGGGGGCTTGATTTTACCAAGGATGATGAGAATGTGAACTCCTGAACATTTATGCGTTGGAGGGACCGTTTCTTATGTATCTTGATGTCGAGATGATCAATTTAAGGATATTTGGGCATGAAAACAACCTCTTCTAGTGAAATTTTTGAGGTAGGGCTCTAATTCGATTGTTTAGAGCCTCGGCTCTATATAAACGTTTTCCTATATATATATATATATATATGGAAAATGCTGAGATTAGCCCACTAGCTCATATGAACATATGAGCCCAATGACCCAGATTGAATCTAGGCCGATCTGACAGTCACGACTTTATTTCGTATTTTAATTTTAATTTTTTTACGAATCCAAATAAATTGAAATTTTAGGGTTGTGTTGCTAAAAAATACAAGAATCTAATAATAATATCAAAAAAATAATTGCAAGAAATAAATTGACCAAAATACCCCTGAAATGTTT